CACCAAGAAGGCCCTGAGCGTCCGGCTCTTCCAGGCCATGGAAAAAATCGAGCAGACTCAGAGGGACATCCGTGGGATTCGCGAGGCCCTGGCACGCAACGTTGGGCGGTGAGGAAAGTGTCCGGTGGGCAGGAGAGGGGTCGTTTGGGTGACCTCCACGGATCCCGTCGGATGGGGGTGGGGGAATTGACACGCGGGTCTTCCCACGTAGGCTAGGCAAGCGTGCAGGGTGTCAGGATTCCAGCAATCGCCCTAATTAAATCACGATTCTCGAGCCAAACTTCAAAAAACTTCAAAGGATTCATTAGAGGCGACATCCTGGCCCTGCCCTGTATGAAGCCAACTCTGGCCTATGTCATTTACAGTCCCCTGGGACCCTGTTTCCCCCCTCCTCCCCCCAGGTGTGTCATAAATCAGATTCTCCATTTGAGCACATTCACAGGCTGGGTGTCATCAATCACATTCTCCAATTAAATATACAGTATTTGCAGGCAAAAGCTCTGGTAGTTTAGTTACAACCTTTTCAAGATGAAGAGTTGGAATGGACTTTCGCTTCCAAACTGCTGCACGGCTCTTCCAGATTTCCTTCCTCCCCTCTCTCTTTTTTATGGCAACTACTAAAACAGGCATAGGGATGTTTTAAGGGATCCGCTCTCGGCAGGACAGTATGGCGGTAGTTGCCACGGGTGTCTTTTGCCTCGAAGGGAAAAGGCCTTTATAGCCAGGTCAGTCCGAGGTCCAGAGGTGGTGGATTCCCCCAACCTGCAGACTCTAATTGTGGCTCGCTGGGAGGAAGGTTTTATGTGGGTTAGCCAGTTGTGGAGTTCCAGCTGTGTTGGGTTTGTATCATGCAAACCGGAGAGTAAGTTGAATGTATCGTGAAAACCGGAGAGTAAGTTGAATGTGGTCAGGAGGTTGTGTGGAAGGAGGGAAGGAGAAGGTTGATGAAAGAAGGGAGGAAAGTTTTGGGAAGGGAAGGGAAAGGAAGGAAAAGAATAGAGGGAGGGAGGAGGATTGGGCAGGAGGTAGGAAAGGAAAGATCTAGGGAAGGAAAGATAGGAAAAGAAAGAGAAGGGGAAGCAAAGAGGGAGGAAAGAAAGATAGGAACAGAAAGGGAAGGAAAAAGAAAGGAAAGAGAAAGAAGAAAAGGGAAGGGAAGGAAGGAAAGATGGAAAGGAAAGAGGGGTGGGAGGGCAAAAGAACATGGAGTTTCCCTGTGGTGTGGGGTCCACAACTAACATTTGCTCCTTTGTGAGTATCAATTCAGGGCCACCCATTCAGGCTTCAAGATTATTTGATTCCAGTTGCAGATCTGACCACACACTGATGGCAGAAAGAGTAAGAAAGAAGGCAGCTCCCTCTGTGTGCGTGTGTGTGTGCGCGCGCGCGCGTGTGTGTGTCAGATACTTATGACAGCCGAAAGGTGCAAAGCAAAAGGCTGGCGTTGTGTGTGTTGTTGGCCGTTCTTGACTTTCCCCTAGTTGCGGTTGGTCCTCAGAGAAGATTCGTACCATTCTGAATTTCTTCACTCTCCCAACACGTTGGTCGTTTAAAGCGAATATAGCGCCATTTTGCCCAAACCTGTAAATAAGTCGGGCGAACCCGTTGTAAAACGTGGATCAGACGACCCCTAGAACGCTGCAAACCACCATAAATGCAGCTGTGTTGCTGAGCACCCGAAGTTGGTTCACGCGACCATGGCGGGACCCCTCTGTCAGGACTTTGAATCCAGATCGTAAGTCCTCTTTGTTAGATCAGGGCTACCTTTGAACGTTTGCAAAGTGGCCCGGTTGTAATTCGAGGACTACCTTAGTTTACTTTCTCGTCATTACACAATGAAATCAAACACCATCTTCAGTGCACATCCTGGCCGTGAAAATAAGCACAAACACACACATCCTTCACACTCCACACATTGAATTGAAAAAAAAACCCTGATATTGCATTCATATTGCACTATACGGTAGAATTCAATAAGAGTTACTACCCTGGCTGTTTTTTCAGCCTATTTGTCCTTGTTTTTTTTATTATCCTGTACCGTCTGCCAGATGGTAATAGTTCAAAAAAAAAAAAAAGAGGGTGCCCAGGATGAGATGGATCTTTGAGAAAGTTTTGAACTTTCTTAAGGCAGCGGGAGCTATAAAGCTCTTCCAAAGAGGGGAGAGGGCAGCCCATGATCTTCTGGGCAATGACGCTAACCCTCTGGAGTGCTTTCCTATCTGCCCCTGTGCAATTGGCAAACCATACAGAGGTGCAATAAGTTAAGATACTCTCTGTGGTGCAGCGGTAGAAGGTCACCAGCAGTTTTCCATTCAGTTGTTGTTTCCTGAGAAGCCTCAGGTAATATAAATCTCTGATGGGCCCTTTTGACCAGGGCTGCAATGCGTGCACCCCCAGGTCAGGTCCTCTTTTAGGGTAACACCCAGAAACGTAAAAACTGTCCCACTCCTGATCTCTCTCTCCCTCTCCCCACGATTTCTAGGCACACCATCGCCACCTCCAAGCTGGAAGAGAAGCTCTCCGGGGCCCACAAGAAACTGGGCGAGCTGCGGGCTTTGGAGGCGAGTCTTCAGCAGGAACAGAAGAAAGCCGACACGCACAAAAAGATGACCGAGTTCTAGGTTTTTTTTTCCTCCTTCGGGGGGGGGGGGAGAAAAAAGGATATTTCAGTTCAGGATGGCTGATGGGTGGGAAGCAGTTACTCTCTTCTGGGTTTCATTCTGTCCCGTTGGACAAGTGGGCTGGATTTGAACAGCTCCCCCCACCCCACCCCGCCCCAGAAGGAGGACAGTCTAGCTTTTCCTCTTCAGAGAAAACCCCCCCCCCCAAAAAAAAATCCACAGCAGGTTCAGAAAAGATCTGATTGGGGAAGGTTTTCTGCTATAACAGGAGTGAGCGACTATGGCAACTCTAGAACCCGCGGACTTTGACTCCCAGGATTCCTGAACCAGCCCTTTCCTGCACTGTGTGGTACCCATCTCTTTGGTTCTTGACCTCTCTAGGACTTCTCTGTGGCTGCTTTTGGTAGGCCTCTTTTCTCCTCTCTCAGCTTGGAGGACAGAAAAAAATAAAACAAGGGAAAAAACCTCTGCGTTGTTTTTTGAAAGTAATCTATCTTAATGCCTGGGGGGGGAGCGGGGTTGGACTCGATCAAGGGTCAGCAACCTGTGGCTCTGGAGTCGCATGTGGCTCTTTCATCCCTTTGCTGCGGCTCCCTGTTGCCGCTCGGCCCCACCATGGGGAGGGCTTTTGGTTAGGACAGGTAGAGGAAAAAGGATGCCGCGCTAGGAGGAGACTCTATGGTGGGGGAATTGGACTTCCGGTCGGCAGAGGAAAAAGGAGGCTGCGCTAGGGGGAGACTATCGTGGGGGAACCGGACTTCCAGTCGGCAGAGGAAAAAGGACGCCGCGCTAGGAGGAGACTCTATGGTGGGGGAACCGGACTTCCGGTCGGCAGAGGAAAAAGGAGGGTGCGCTGGGGGAGACTGTCGTGGGGGAACCGGACTTCCAGTCGGCAGAGGAAAAAGGAGGGTGCGCTAGGAGGAGACTGGTGGGGGAACCGGACCTCCAGTTGGCAGAGGAAAAAGGAGGCTGCGCTAGGGGGAGACTATTGTGGGGGAACCAGACTTCTGGTCGACAGACGAAAAAGGAGGCTGTGCTAGGGGGAAGACTATCGTGGGGGAACCGGACTTCCAGTCGGCAGAGGAAAAAGGACGCCGCGCTAGGAGGAGACTCTATGGTGGGGGAACCAGACTTCCAGTCAGTTCCAAAATTAAAAGGCGAGGGCGGGGGGCTTCTGGTTAGGCCCTTTGTGGCTCTTTAAGTGTTGCTAATCCCTGGACTAGATGACCTAAAACCGTGATGGCAAACCTATGGCACGCGTGCTGGAACTGGCTTGCAGAGCTCTTTCTGCCAGCACGCAAGTTGTCGCCTCAGATCAGCGCACTGTGCATGTGTGCGTGCTTCCCGCCAACAAGCTGATTGTCAAGTATCTGCCATGCAGGGGCAGGGTGTGTGCATGCGCAGAGGTGTGCAGCGCACATGGGATTGTGCGCACATGCGCAGAGGGTGCAGTGCATTATAGGTGCAACCTCGCATGCGTGCGCGAAAGGTTAGCCATCACTGACCTAAAAGGTCCCTTTCAACTGTGTTCTGTTACTTGACCAGCAGGAGGCTCAACGATATTCTTGCAGAAAGCGGTCCTTGGATTGCGTTGCATTTCAAGCTAGCAGACCACACCTACCCCTTTACCCAGGGGCCATGCCTCTTTTCAGTTGTTTGTTTACTGTTTACAAACAATTCAAGGTGGCAACATTCAATGCACCTTTCTCTTCCCCCCACAATAGCATCCCTTGGTGTGTGTGTGTGTGTGTATATATATGGGTATTTTCATCATCAGGCTTCTGATGGCAGATGAGATTCTGCCGAAACGTTGCTACAACTTTAAAAGCACAACTACAATGACGTGGGAAAATACCCGAACAAAGCTGAATGCCATACATGTAAGCACCCGCAAAAACTTAAGAAAACATATATATAAAGGAAGAAGCACCTGCAAGCTCACATCACTCTGAGAAGCACAGAGCTGAAGACACAAGCCTGAAGATGATGAATGAGACTTCATCAAAACGTTGCTTAGATACTTCCAATCTTACGCGGGAGAAAACCCGAATAACCAAAGATCCATATATATATATATGGAACAATTTTATTGTTTTTTAAGACAAACATAGACAAACAAAGCATAAAAACATCAAGCCATCTTCCATATATATACATACAGTATGTCGGTTTACAAATTGTTTTGTGCTTCCATTTCATAGTCTTCAATTACAATTCTCTTCTTCTTCTTCTTTTTCTTCAGCGTTTGTCTCGCGCTCGGGCGAGGTCCGCTAATGTCCTTGAGTACTGCTTCCACACCTCTCTGTCTGCCACGTGTGTCGGGTCTGCCTTCGCGATCTCTAGATCGGCCTTGATCGTGTCCATCCAGCGTTGTTTAGGTCTACCACGCGGTCTCGCTCCTCCGACAGTCACCTTCATTACAGATTTGGTGATGGATTCTTCCTTGGCGCGGCTCACGTGGCCGAACCATCGTAGCCGGGACTGCCTCATGACCGTGGGGATGGGCACGACGTTGAACCGTCTACGCACTTCTTCGTTCCTGACGCGATCGAGTAGGGTGAGGCCTACCGACCATCGGAGCATTCGCATCTCCATTATCTGGAGTCTGCTTTCGGCTTCTTTGGTCGTCGGCCAGCACTCTGCGCCGTATATGGCCACGGGGCGCACCACAGAGTTATAGATTTTCGCCTTCAGGCGCATCGGCATCTTCTTGTCACAGAGGACGCCCGTGACGGACTTCCATTTGCCCCACGCTGCATTGATCCTGGCTGCCACCTCAGTTTGTAGTAGGCCTTCTTCCCCAAGAGTAGTTCCCAGGTACTTGAAGGTGGAGGCGCGCGGTAGCTCCTGCCCGTTCACGTGGATGGAGCCTGTCATTTCATTATCAGTGGTCAGGTATTCGGACTTCTTTAGGTTCAGCCGGAGCCCGAACTGCTCGAGGCGGTCGTGCCACTGTTGGACTCGGTGCTCGAGTTCAGCCTTGCACAGGTTGGCCAGGAACACATCATCGGCGTAGAGCAGCGTCCATGGGGCGGGCATGTACAGGTCGTGTGTAATTGTGTCCATCACCAGAATGAACAGCAGTGGTGAGAGAGCAGAGCCCTGGTGTACGCCGACGGTAATATTAAACTCCTCTGATATCCCAGCTGCCGCTTTTACACAGCTTTTGTGACATCTGTATAGGAGTTGGACCCATTGTACGAGCAGCTCAGGCACGCCGTGATCTCGCAGTGCGTACCAGATGAGATCGTGCGGGACTCGGTCGAAGGCCTTTTCCAAGTCTAGGAAGGCGGTGTGGAGCGGGATTTTCTTCTCTCTGTGAGCCTCCATCAGCATCCGCACACCGAAGATGGCGTCGGTGGTGCCGCAGTTCTTGATGAATCCAGCCTGGTTGACGCTGATGTCGACGATGTCCCGAATGCGCTTATCAAGGACGCGTTCAAAGATCTTCATAGTGTGTGACAGTAACCTGACCGGTCTGTAGTTGGAGCAGTCCGCTGGGCTGCCCTTTCCCTTCCAGATCGGAACAGTGGTGCTGCGGTACCAGTCGTGTGGCACTTTTCCCGTGGAGACGATGTTGTTGAACAGCTCGCACAGCCACAATGCCGAGCCCGGTAGTGCCTTTTTCCAGAAGTCGGCAGGGATGTCGTCTGGTCCTGTTGCCTTACCGTTTTTCATGGCCTTGATGGCGTCGGCGACCTCGCTGGCATAAATGCCTGAGACTGGGCCTTCAACTGGGTCACCTTGCGGGGTTCGTGGGTGTGGGAACTCCTCGGTGGAGATCTTCTCGAAGTATTGCCGCCACCTCTCCGCAGCGTCTCTGGGGTTGACGATCAAATTTCCCCTTTCGTCGTTGATCCCATGAAACTGGTCAATGTCCAGGGTCTTCCTGTGTCTGTGTTTGGCTAGGCGGTAGATCTCATTCTCGCCTTCTCGCGTGTTCAGCTTCTCGTAGATGTCATCGTAGTGGGAGCTTCTGGCTGTCGCTACTGCTTTCTTGGCTGCCTTTTTGGCCGCCTTGTATTCGCAGAGCTTCTCGCTGGTCTTGTCCTGAAGAAAGGCCTTGTAGAGCCGTTTCTTCAGGTGTACGGCATCTTGTACTTCCGGTGTCCAGAGCCATGTATCTCGTTCGATGCGTCTCCGTCCTGGCTTGGTGCAACCAAGCTGTTGGCAGCCGGCAGTGTGAACAGTGCTCTTCAGCATGGACCACGCTTCCTGTGGCCCGTCGACCATCTGCGGGAACTGCTCCGGTTTGATGAGGGGTCCCGCCATCTTCTTCTGGTTCCACCACTTGATTCGTGGCTGGTCTGCATTCCTTTTGTCAATCCTGGTCTTGGGCTTGCTGATCCTGATCTTCGCCATCAGTGGCCTGTGCTGACTGCTCGATTCGTACGGGTACACCTTGGCGTTGAGCACGTTTTTAGCGGCTCTTCGTCGTACGATGATGTAGTCGATCTGTGTGTGGTGGCTCCCGTTTCTGCTATGGTAGGTGAGGAGTTGAGATTCTCGCCTAATGAAGCAGGTATTCGTGATGGTCATATCATGGGAGTCGGCAAAGTCCAGGATCCTCTGGCCATTCTCATTCGTATCGCCTGTGCCGTGCCCACCGTGGCACTGGTGTCCGTTTTTGTCCCGCCCTACATGACCATTCAGGTCGCCCAAGATGATGATGTCGTCTTCGTGTGAGATCTGCCTGAGTTGGATGTCGAGCAGTTCCCAGAAGGTATCCTTCTCCTCCTCGTGACATCCGGTCTGAGGGGCGTAGGCGGACAAGATGTGTAGGCGCTGCCTCTTGGTCGCTACGACGATTATCATCAGTCGTTCTGTGAGGCGCTTAACTTCTGCGACGGAGCTTTGCCAGCTTGGACTGACAACCACAGCTACACCGCCGCGGTTTTCCTTACAGCTGGTGTATATGATCTTGTAGCCGTCTATAGTCGTAGCCTTGTTGCCCTTCCAGCGAGTTTCCTGGAGGCAGCAGATGTCCAGCTTCCTGTCCCGCATGGCCCTGACGATCTCGGTCGAGCGTCCAGTCAGCGAATCCACGTTCCAGGTGGCCACCTTGAGCGTCTGGCAGTCCTCTGTTCCCCGCTTGCGTTTTTTCACACGGATCGGGTAGTCTCCGTGCGCATCGGACCCGGACGCAGTCGCCATAGCTTTCTCACACGGTGCAGGTGCGCCGTGCTTTCCGCGTGGACCATTTCGTTGATTTTTGGCGCAGGCCAATGGTCTCCTGCGCCCGTCGGTTCCCCCGAACGCGGTAGCATTGGACATGTGTTTTGTAGTGGACGTTTCCACCATGTTGATGCGGCAATTGAGTACTCCAGCCGGCCTGTCGCGTGGGCCTGTCGTCGGAGGGTCTGCTCTCAGTTACGGTCAGCGTTAGACGGCTTCGTGCATCCAGGGGACACCACTTGGAGGTGGCAGACCGCTCGTCCCCCCTTCAATTACAATTACATTGTATATATTCTCATATTTTCAATCAAATATTAAACACAGCATCCCTTGTTTTTTTGCTCGAAGACGTTTCGCTTCTTATCCAAGAAGCGTCTTACAGTTCTGACTGAATGGTGGAAGAAGTCAGAATATATTCATGAAGTGGAATAGAGCTTAGTAACAACGTCAGCCAATGAGAGCTGAGCTGAGGGCTGAAACTTCAAGAGAGAACCTGGGTGTGGTTTATCTGCTGTTCCGTGCTCTAAAGTGAAAGAGAAACTAACTTGTTTGTCTGCTGAAGTTGAGTTGCTGCTCTGCTCTGAACCCGTAACATGTCTGCTTTGCTCCATGTTGGAGAAATCTACAACTGGTATTGTAAAATTTACTTCATGTATTTATAAAGAAGTTAAATGAAGCCTCAGCCATCTGTGTTTACTTTTCTGGCGCTGAATTTACGCCACAATACTTTGAACAGAGAATGGAAGGATTTCTATTCCTGACATTCATTTGGAGGTTCATCTGTGCCCTCAAGAGTGACCTGAATCGTGCAAATGGCTGTGGAACCTTGTACACCCAGTCCTTTCATCAGTTCCAAGAAGGCCACACACCCATTTGCACTAATTCAGGTGACCCCCGAGGGCACAGATAAACCTCCCAAGTGGCCTCAGCAATGACTCTCAGAGAGAGGACTAACGACCAAAGGACTGCTAAAGAATATTAAATCCTTCATCTTCCATCATTCCATCAGAACAAGAGAAGCTTCTTGGAGGAGAAGCGAAATGTCATGCCCCTGGTGGAGACTGACTCCGAGGGAGAGGAGGAACATCTGACAGGGAGTGGAAGGTGTGGCTCCAGAGGTGGTGGAGGAGGCTGGGGAAGGGCAGAGGCCGGCTGGGCAGTCAGAGGAAGACCCAGGCCCATCCCCTCTCCATCCTACACACAGGGAGGAGAGAATAAGGGAGAGACGTGAATGGCATGGTCTACGGGGCAGGAAAGGGCCTTGATCCCCTTCATGGGCTGCAGCTGTGAGAACTGGTTAAAAGGACGGACATGCGTATGGGCCAGTGCTGGAAACAAAGCATGGAAATATCTCTAGTTTATTGTTCCTCTCTGAGTTTAGCGCCCTTCCCATTGTGTGTTCTGATATCTGTGGATGTTTTCAAACCCTTTATCTTGCCTGGTTCCCTTAATTGCTTCAGTGTGGTTTGTGTTGTTTTTACTCTTTATAATTTATAGGCATTTTTAGTTTAAATGGCATTTCCTCCTTTTTGTAACTGCTTGTGGGGGAGTTTTTTTGTCTCCAGTTAAGGATATTTGGAGCTTTGAAGCAAAGTGAAGGAATAAAAGGGGCTTCACCTGTTTTTGTGACTGTGTTTATTTTGTAACCCACCCTGGGTCATCGCACGAAATGTCTTCTAGCAAAACAAGAAAGTCCAATTGCCTTTTGAAAACCAAAAACCAAAAATAGCGCCTTTGGGGAAACAACCGTTGTTTTTTCCTTAGACTCAGCCCAGGCAATGAGGGTAAAGCGAACAAGCGGTGTGCGCACCAAGAGCAGCAGTGAAGTCATGGTACCACAATAACTCTTGTTTATCGCTGCCATTTCCTGTGCACATTTTCTCCTCGCGCATCCCGCAAAACTGCGAGGGAAAAATGAGCTCACTGTGGTTTCCCTTCACTCCCCTTTCATCTTTGCAAGCGGTTTGTTGCAAATTTGAACTCTATCGTAAACTGCTAAAAGACCAGCTTGTCCTTTTGCATTTTTCTGAGGAAATTTTCTTCGCTGTTCTAATTCCCCAAATCATCATCATCATCATCATCATCACCACCTTCTTCTTCTTCTTCTTCTTCTTCTTCTTCTTCTTCTTCTTCTTCTTCT